CTGTATGAGCTTTAAAACGACATGGACATAGTGCAGCGAATTAAAATACAGCGGCTACGCTGGCTTGGCCATATCGTTCGAATCGACACCAACGCTCCAGCTCTGAAAGTATTCAACGCGGAACCCGCTGGGGGTAGCAGAGGAAAAGGGAGGCACCCACTGCGATGGAAAGATCAGGTGGAGAAGGACTTTGCTTCACTTGGCGTTTCCAATTGGCGTCAGTTGGCACAGAAGAGAAACGACTGGCGTACTTTGCTGAACTCGGCCAAAATCGCTTAGGCGGTTACAGCACCAAATAAGAAGAAGAAGAAGTGGTTTCAGGTGGGGAAAGTAAGGCGTCCCCGATCAAGAAGTGCCCCGCAGTTAACACAAAGAGGTCATCGGGGTCGGATGCCATCGGGCACAAGGGCTTTGAATTAAAGCAGGCTTCGATCCTTGCCAGGCTTTTGGAAAGCTGCTTGTTCCAGTGACAATGCGTTTTAGATGATATTTGATGGATTTTATATTAGCTTCCCACAGCCCGCCAAAATTTGGAGAGTACAGGAGGCTGAAATGCCAATTAATGTTTTGTACGGCTTACTGAGGTACATTATCATGCTCAACTTCTTCAACCAATCGCTTTTGATTAATTTTCAAAACTTTATCAGCCCCCAGCAAAATTGGTGCCGCACTCGCTATACAATTAATGACATATTCCACGGCGGGAAATGAAACGCTGTAATGCCCATAAAAAATGCTCCGTTGTCATGCCAGTAACTGCTTTTATATGCACCGCCTTCGGAGCCAAGCATATGAATATCGCTATATAACCCTTGTAAATCGTATGACCGCGATATTCTGACGTTTTCAACTCGATGGCTCCCATGTAGTCAACAATTATTGCATAGGAGGCGCGTTGAGGGAGAGTTGCGTGGGTGAATCTCCCATTAATTGTGTAGTGGGTAGTGGGTTATTACGAAAACACTTTATGCAATTTTTAAGATGATTGCGCACCGTTTTGCGCGCATGTATAATCCAAAATTGTTTTCGGATGGTACAAAGCGTTAACTGGATACCTCCGTGTAGGGTACCGAAATGAGCGTTGTCGTTGATTAATTTCGTTACATGGTGGCTACTCGGTAATATCATTGAGTACCGTTGGTCGTAAGGGAGGAGAGAATGCTTGAGCCGACCGCGTACACGAAGAACGTCTCTTTCTCCGCAAAATGGTGTTAGGCTGACGAGTTTGCTGCTATTTGGCACAACTTGTTTTGTTTCGATGAAATGTATTTCTGTTCGAAAAGCTTCTTGTTGCACCAGTCGAACGATACAAAATAAACTTTGTTGTAACTCCCTCGTGGTTAATTTTATGCTGAAGATTATAATAAAATCGTAACATCTAAGCGGTGATGCGTTGACGTTTTTTAAATGAACAGAAACGTTGTAAAAACGATGAGATTGCAACGACTGCATGAGCATGAACTTAAGCCGGTTTTTCTTCCAGTGTTGTATCACCGACATCAAACACGTTGGCCAAATTGACTTGGGCTGCGTTAGCCACCGTGGTCCACTCCATCAGAGTTCCAAATCTTTTAACTGTGTTGGTGATACAACGCGCGTGGCGCAATCTGTTGAGTTTTCTTTTATGCCAATATGCCTCCACTGACTAGGCGTACTGTGCGACAATATTTTGCTTATCCGATTGGCTACATAAAGCTTCCATCTGTTGAGATCGCCGTGAATCCAATAAAGGACAATCGTTGCATCCGACCAGAAGTGGGCTGGCATAAACTGGCTTGAGGGTATTCTGAACCCAATTGGCGAGCCCCAATGCGAGCACAGCGCCACATAACTCCACTCGGGGAATTGTAAGTGAGGCGATAGGCGTGACCCTTCTTTTAGCAGCGACTAAGTGTGTGTTAATGTATTTATTGCTGTAGTGCAAGCGTGAATATACCGCTGCTGCGTATGCCGAGGAGGAGCCATCACAGAACGCATGTATTTCTACCGACTGAAGTTGTTGCGGCGAGTAATGTAACCAGCGTGGAATAGAGATCGCCTTTACCTGTGAAAATTCAGTAACAAACCTTTGCCAGGTTCCATTGATAGTCGTAAGCAATTCTTGATAGCAAATTTGACTGAGGAAGTGAAGGAGTCGATATTCGGCTGCCAATGCAGGCCAAGCGTTTTCATCGTCTCATTAGTGTTAAGTTGTTGTGATGGATCATACGATTGATGCTCGTATGGAATAGAGTGCAAAAGTTCAGGAGTGTTACTGGACCATTTTCTGCCAGCTTTCCATGTCACGCTATCAGTTGATCACGCAACAGTGTTGCATTAGCAATTGAATCATTTCCGCTTAGTACATCGTCAACGTACATCTCGTGAAGAAAAATATTTGCAGCCAGGGGAAATCGATGTTTTTCATCGTGTGCGAGCTGATGAAGAACTCGAATTGCAGTGTACGGTCACCGTAGTCAGACAGTATTCGCCAACCTGTCCATTTTTGTTGCCCACAATATGCGTTGATAATTTGAATCCTCTAGGTTCATGTCGATACATCGATACATTTTTTTGTATATCGGCCAAGAAGACGTATCCATGCATTCGCCACTTCAGGATAACAGCCGAGAGGTTGTTTTATAATTGTGGGCCAGTGCATAGTAAATCATTCACAGGACGTCCACTTGACGTTTCGAGGACGCATCATAGACAATTCGTAATTTGGTAGTGACACTCGTTTCTTTCACTACAGCGTGATGTGGCAGTACACAGGAGGTTACGGTTAGCTGGTTACATCCGGTAGTTAAGCAGTCATAGCTTGGCGAATTTGGTTCAGGCGAAAATAGTCCTCAATTCCACCTCATATTGCTCACGCAGATCGGCATTACGCTGGAGTCGACGTTCCAGCTGATGAAATCTGTTCAGTGCAATTTATTTTGACTTTCCTAGAGTTTGATTAGGGTCATATAATGACTTGAGAGGCAAACGAACCAGATATTTACCATTTGCTTGTCGAGTATAAGTGCTACGGCAAAAATTTTCGCACCATTGGTCTTGCGCGGGCATTGGCACAGCAGTGGTCACTTTCTCGTTCTCAAAGAATTTTCGCACAAGCCCTTCAAGCTCAAGGTTGCTGTGATGGCAGCGAATAGTGACAGTAGAAGGATCCACCCCAAATGAGTTTTTTGGGCAATAGGCTGGTTAACATGGCCAAAGCGGGTTTGCGGCTCCAATATTTGGGCGATCAAGTCTGCGCCGATAATGAGGTCAATTCTCTTCGGCTGATAGTATTTGGGATCGGCGAGAGCGAGTCCTTGTAGATGTGCCATATCCTCTGGCACAATTTCCTGGCTGGGCAGTGGTGCTGTGAGTTGCTTCAGAACATAAGCAGACTCAATATGGGCAGAGAAATGTTCATCGTAGCACGAACGAAGAGTGCAACTAACCAATGATCGCGATTGGCTGAATATGTTTGGGTCTACTACGCATATATCGGCAGAGGTGGGATGACGTTGCAGGCCTAATTGCTGAACGGCATTTTCTGAAATAAGTGTTCCTTCGGATCCTTGAACGATCAAAACGTGTACTATCGCCGATCGATTCGTGATTTCGTTGCACAGCACTACTGACGCCGTGGCAAGTAGTATGTGTCTCGGCCCTTGTAAGGGAATCCTATCGACAGCCAGTTGTGTTGAATTTGCCGTTAGCGTAGCATGAGGGTGAGTGGAGCGCCTTACATCGAAGACTGCTGTCGAAGGAGAAGGTGTATTTGAAAAAATGGGGACTGATTGTTCGTGTGTAGGTACTGAAACGTTGATGGCAGAAGAGTGTTGTTTGCAGGAGTAGTCTTTGTAGCGAATGGAAAATGCAGTAAAGTGTGGTGGCGTTGGCCACACTGGAGACAATTTTTAAAGCTAGTCCACTTAGAAAGTGCATGAGCCTTACTTAAGCAATTAAGGCACAGCTTTGCCTTACCCTCCTCTCATAGCAATCTTTTGAGAGAAAGGTTGGACAGTGGCGTATAATATGTGCTTGGCCACATAAAGCACAAGATTCAACTTGAGCGGTGTTGACGTTTGGGCAACGTGAAAACTTTAATATTAACAATCGATCTCTGGGTGGATTTTGAGTTGTTATAATTAAAAGCAGTTTGATGTTTTGTATCCTTTGTAGGTTTAACTGCAGATGTAGCATTAAAGCACCGACTGTGAAAATACGAGTATTTAAAAACGCTTCAACCGAATGTTGGTATATCGGTTTTACTTCCAAGATGTCGTTCCCATGCGGTATGCGGATCGGTTGGCAGCTTGGTCGCAAGATAATGAGCAACCCAGTGGTCACATCCGCCGATTGGAATTTTCAGGCGTTTAAACTCATTTACGCAGACATTTGCTCCGTTTAGCATTGATTTGATGTTATCAGATTTCTCTTTATATAACTGGGGTAAAGTATAAAGCGTGTTCATATGCTGCGAAAACAGGATTCGCGGATTGTTATAACGCTTGAGCAACAAGTCCCAAGAAGTATATAATTTACCTCAGTTAAAAGCATTTGGTGTATATCGACCTCTCGGTCGGCTGGAAGTGCTTGTTTTAAATAGTGAAATTTTTGTATTGAGTTCAACCCAATATTTTGGTGATTGCTGGTATTGCTGGTTCGTCCGGCGGAATTGTACGTTGAGTCAGCAAACAAAACAAATCGAGATGTATCTCTTCAAGTTGAGATGCCACATCCTCATGGAAATATCCATCGTCTTCGGCAATATCGGAGCAAACAATCAATTTACGAGTGGTACAAAACTCACTGTTAAGATTATCGATCCGCGACAGCCGTTTTTGAAAATATGGTTTCGTCTTACGTGCAATTGAGCCTTTCTTAAAATGTGCAAGAATCTTCTCAAGTGCTGCGAGTCGATTCAGCTGTAGCTTAATTTGTGCTTCAGTGGACTCACTCATCTTATTTTGAGTGACACACAGCAATGTTCGAAAATAACACTTAAATTAAATGCACACACTTACCTATTTCACTATTGCGTGGTATAGTTGATAATAGCTGTCTCTGGTGAACTGAGGCCTAGGCTTGTATATGTGAAGCGACAGCGCGAGAATCTTGAGTTGACCTTCAAGAATGTTGATCGTTAGGTAGCGACGATGGAACACAGTGCTGAAAGCAGGAACTAGCCGAATCGCCAATTTGCACAAAGCGGTGGCAAAGATGTCGAATATGATGAACCTGAATATTAATGCATAATCTCAAAAATGGGGTTGACGAAGCTAGGTTTCAGAACGGATGAAGAAAGTGATCAAAGTTATACTAATTGCTTATCGTAGGGCGGTCTGCGCAAGCCGAATTCAAGATTTTTGCATACATTGGAAATTTTAAATTCGAAATTTGTTGAAGTTAATGGTGATACGCTAACCACAAAGCCTAATTTAGTGCAAAATCTGATGAGAGATTTAAAAGTAAATTTTCACGAATTTCATCACGAATCACGAATTTTATATGAACAAATATTCCCAAAATTATAAAACAAAACAAACATAATTTTTCCCAATTTGTTTTCATTTTTCATGTTAAGTTATGAGAACAATTTATTCACATGGAATTGGCGATTATAAAAAGATTTATTTGGAAAAAGCATTCTTTAGAATTCGATTTTTAAATCGCAAGATTGCATTCAAAATAAGAAAATGAAAAAATAAGAACATAATGCTGTCGTGATTTTTGTTATAAAAAAAACAATTTCAATGAAGTCTCCTTTAACATTACATATTTTATATATTTTTAATAAAAAAGGTGCAAACCACGTAAGTAAAAAAATCACCAAGCACTGATGATAATTTTTAGTTTGAACTATTATTAAACTGGTATAAATGTGGGGAAAAATACTCCGATTTATTGTTTTAATATCATGAAAGTGGCAAGGACGTTGAGAATACTCACAATTTATGCAACTTCAAAAAATTTTATTATCCGTCAAACGTTGTTTATTGAAACTACCTTCTTTTTTGTATCATGTTATTTCACTATGTTTATAAGCTATGTGAAACAATTTTGGAAATTGCTGTTTAAATTCTGCCCAAATTTCCAAAGGGTTTTAGAGTGTAATTATCATATCAATTAATATCATTTTGTAGCTGGTTGTTTAGCACAAAACGTTTCTACCAATGACATAGCCACATAGCCACAAGGTGAGATTGGGGGGATTATCCCTCGTATGACATTTCTCATGAAACGTTTAGTCAGTGTCAGACCAAGGGCTCTACTCAAGGTGCCTATTAAAACATTTAAATATTTTATAAACTCACTTTGTAGAATACTATTCCATCAACAGTTTACACTACGAAGTTCCGCCGGTTGGAGCCCTTCCGGTCTTATAAGAACTAGTATTTTCTGACCGTCTGAAGTCGGGTTTTTATAGACGGGAGAGAGAAGGGAGTAAAATTTAACTCCTGCAATTTCAGACCGAGAAAATTGCGGTATTACACATGTATGTAGTTTTATGAACATCTGTGACTGATTGGGACTATCACTTCGTAGGAACTGCACCCTAAAAAATATTTGTTTAAATTTGCGCAAATTGAGACAGGTAACCAGTTTCCTCTCTTTATGAATGCAAATTTACACACCATGTTAATTAAATTAAACACCGCCCGTTTACTTTTACTTATCATATGTGTAGCGTAGAACAAATTTCAAATTAGTTTACTGAGTTCTAAACATATATTATTCAAAATTTCACATTTTACACATAAAATGTTTAAAATTTGCTCTACAATTTTGTTTTTTAATTTACGTATATAAAGGGAGGTAACCCGTTTCCTCTCGTAATATGTGCAAAATTAAACACTGTCTGTTTACTTTTATATACCAAATTTGTCACGTAGAGAAAAATTACACACAAAGTGTTTAAAATTTAGTAAATAGGAGCACTAAATTTTTATTTTTATTAAAAATATATTTTTACTTTCAAAATTTTTGCAGTTTTAAACATTTTTTTTTTTGTGTATTTATGTGTATTTTTTAAACATCTCCTGTTCAAAATCCCATCTTGAACATCTTGTACGTATATTTACACAGGTTTTGGTTGAAAAATAAACACTTTTCAGTAGTAGTTTTACATAAACTTTTTAGAGTGTGGTTCGATCCGTGGCCCGAGCAACATCTAAATTAGAAAAGGTTTTTTCTAACAGCGGTCGATTCCCGGCAGGCAAAGGCAAACCTCCGAGTGCGTTTCTGTCATGAAAAGGCTTCTAATAAAAAAACGAATTTTTTAATTTTTTGGTTTTCGAACTTGGTTCTTTTTTCTCGTTAAAAATATATAAAAAATGTGACGCTACAGCCAGATTTCTATCCAAAGACACTTATAAACCAATTTGTGTATTAAACTCCAAAATAGTGTACTTGGATACTAACTCCTTTATGAATTGAGCAAATATATACAAGACCCTCAGTAAATCAGAAAGGTTTATGGAAATTCGAAGTTAATGCTAGTAATATGCTGTAACATTAAAGAAAATTAAAAACTAATTTTCTCGGAAAATTTAGGTGATGGAGTTTTTTATTCATATTTTTTTCGTAGCTTAGTACTAATACCTACCAAAATTTCTAATTAATTTTTTAAGGGAGATACCATCGCAGGCCTCTGTTATCTACTAAAGTCTGGAATGGTATTCATGATCTTTGTGAAGAGGAATCCAACTTCGAGAAGAGTAAGAATAAGTATATAACTTTTAAACCAAAGCATTTTTTTCTTAACTAGAAAAATACGAAATGGTATGACTGAATAGTGTTTACGATCTTTTTGAAGACAAACCCTACTTCGAAAAGAGAATGCGCAATTTCTCTAAGAATTAAAATTTATAGAAGTGTATAAATTTGCTTGTTGCTGATTCTGAATGAACGAAACTTATAGAGATCTAAAAGCTTAAATTTTTAGGTAGGAGAAGTTGAGAGAGTGAAAATGGCAGCTGAAGTTGCAAGTTTTTACTGGATAAATTTTTACTTGTAACAATTTTCCTGTACGAAAAACAGCTGATCGCATGTTGCTGGATGTAGTTTAAACTAATAAGGAAACTGTGTGTGGGTTTTTATGGTTGAAATTGATGAAATAAACCAATTTAAATTATAAAATATGATAGGGGTATTCTCCAAATCTTGCAAAGCCATTGCACGTAGCACGGATTGCATGGATTGCATAACTTGCAAACACACAACAACAAAATACATGGGAAACGACATTTCCTATCGCTGCAAAATATGCAACGTCGAAACCCATGTATATATTTTGCAAAATAGCATAGCAAGATATATGCGACCCTGTGCTAGTTGTTTTGTTGTTGGAATTGCTACATATTTCTCTCATTCCTCTCATCTCGCTCACTTCATTTTTTTCTGCTGTCTCTTGTTATTGTATTTGATACATAATTTCGCTGCTTGCTACCCATGCATTCTACCACTTTGCAATGGGGTGCTCTCGTACTCTTCGAAATTTGGGATAGTATTTTTGCATTTCGTGCAATACGTGCATCGTGCAATACTTCGAGAATACCCCTATTGTTTTATTAGGAATTTGCTGCGAATAAACAACTAATTTATCAGCTGTTCGTTCGGATTTGCTACGCGTACTGTTTTGGATATTTTTTCTGTACGAATTCTTAGAAATGAAGTTATTGGAGAGTTGCTGGCAAGTTACTGGGTAATTTGTAAACAAACACAACTACATATCGATGGCTGAGTGGAAGATCGACCTATCTCGGCATCCAGTTCGAAAACGCCCTATCTCAGAAAACTTTTCAAGGACGCCCTACTTCAGAATTTTATTGAAAAACAACCTATTTCAGAATTTTATTGAAAAACACAAACACAAAGGAAAATGCATTAAATATAAGCTGAGATAGGGCGTTTTTGAATCTGCAGCGGATATAGGGCGCTATTCAACCCAATTCTCAGGTAGGGTGTTTTCCAATCAAATTCTGAAGTAGGGCGTTCTTGAAAAGTTTTCTGAGATAAAGCGTTGTTGAAAAATTTTCTGAGATCTTCCACTCAGCCATCGATATACTCTGATGAACATATGTAAGGATGATAGCAAGGCGAACTCATATAAGGTAGTGTTACAGGAGCAGTTGAAATTTTCGCCCCGGCGTTTCTTATAGAAAGCCATAAACGTAGCGGCCGTTGGGTCAACTTGGTGATATTTTGCTTTAGATTGCACCGTTTGTGGGCCTGTTAAATGAATTTGTGTCTTGGTTGTATGAAAGATCACAAATTTTGATTTTCTGGCCAGTTGTACAACTCGTTGCTACATTAATGGCCTTGTTTTACAAACTCATTCTATTTTGCGATTATTTTATTCATTAAATAACCCAAAATGGATAACTCAGCCGAAATATGTATATGAATTCGTTGAATTTTATAAATCAGAGGTGGCCGCGACCATCGATAGTTTCGATAGTCGATAGTCACAACCATCGATAGTATCGATACTATCGAATATGTCGACACTATCGATAGGTTAGATTGAACAAGTTCAAAAATTAAACATAACAACCTTTATTGAAAATGAGAACGAAATTGCTAAAATATGGCCATATTTTTGCTAAGGGACAAAAGTTTAGCAGCATCTGCGCTCTGAAAGTATTTGCCCTGCTTTGCTAAATGTCCCTTCCGATTTACAAGATGAAGGAGGTACCGGCTGTTACTCTTTCTGAATAATGTATGTATGAGTGAAAAGTATCGATAGTACTTACGAAACCATCGATGTTTTCGATAGTCAAAAACCATCGATACTATCGATAGTGTCATCGATATTTTTCCTGCTCTAGTGTTAGGTGCGCTGAGGGGGAGCGGATTGGAAATTGTATCAAGGCTGAAACATAACTGGTCTATATATGACCACGTGACCAAATGCGTTTTAGTTTTTGCTTCAACATTATATTTTAAATTCTTTATTTTGATAGGTTAAACGTAACAACCTTTATTGAAAATGGGATCAGAATTGCTAAAATATGGCCATATTTTTGTTAAGGGACAAAAGTTTATCAACGCAGCATCTGCGCTCTGAAATTATTTGCCCTGCTTTGTTAAATGTCAGTTCCGATTCAAAAGATGAAGCAGGTACCTCCGGCTTTTACTCTTTCTGAATAATGTATGTATGAGTGAAAACTATCGATAGTACTTACAAAACCATCGATGTTTTCGATAGTCAAAAATCATCGATACTATCGATAGTA